GAGGTCAAATTCCACCAGCCATAAAAAGATACGATTTTCCCTAAGATACGTAATCTTTTGCAAGGAGAGAGAAAAAAAAACAGGTTGAGTGACAAAAAAAGAAAAGAAAAAAGTTTGTTGCAAAATCGTGCATTTTTTTTTAGGGTGTCATCTTTATCGTAATATTCTTTCCTTAACCGATTTTTTTTAATCAATTGATGTTTACCTTATTTGGAGTATGAGTTCACTGTTTTTATGCTTTTTTTTGGCTAAGTCTGTCTGTCTTCCCTGTCTGGCTGGCTGTTGGCTCATTCTCACTCTCACTCTCTCTTTCTCTTTCTCATTCTCTCTCTCTCCCTCTCTCTTTCTCTCTCACTCTCTCTCTCACCCCCTCCCTCTCTCACCCTCACCCTTTCTCTCTCTCCATCTCTCTCTCTCTCTCACTCTCTCTCTCTCTCTCTCTCTCTCTCTCTCTCTCTCTCTCTCTCTCTCTCTCTTCCTCCTTCTTCTTCCTCTCTGTAGACCAATTATCAACACGAATCAAACAGAAATAAACCCAAATAATAATAAAGTGCCAACTATCGCCTTAACCATCACAAGGAGAAAAACTGAGGTGAAGGCCACGCACTCAGTCAGTCACAGTAACAGGCACAAAAACTGGGCAGACGAGGTGACATTGGCACTGAGCGGAACGAGGCGCGGCACTTTACACTCTGCACGTGGTTTTGAGGCGCCGGTGATTTCGATGCTTCGGAAGAGAGTGATCCTTGGTTTCATTTGAGTGATATTTAGCTTTTGCTCTTGTTGATAGCCATGTTATTATTTAGTTGTTGTTGATACTGGTGTTGTTGTCATCATTATATTTTTTGCTTATTGATACTGTCGTCATCATTATCATCATCATTAATTATATATATATATGTGTGTGTGTGTGTGTGTGTGTGTGTGTGTGTGTGTGTGTGTGTGTGTGTGTGTGTGTGTGTGTGTGTGTGTGTGTGTGTATATATATATATGTATATATATATATATATCACTGTTACAATACCTGTCCACATATTCCAGGTATTCTCAACCTAGGCACTGATAAGGCATTTACATGAGAACAATTAAAGTGTTAACTAATTTCCTCAGGTAACTGATTATTTATTCACGAGAGACAACAATGCAGTCTCCATGCTAATGAGAACGACGCTTTAAGATAAGCAAACCAACCATTGATTTACGAAGCACAATAGATAAACTCACGAGGGAAACAATAGTGGGCGTGGGTATGGCACGGGCGTAGGCTGTGACGTGGGCGGGACTGAGGGTAATGTAAGGGCGTGAAAATACCCCGCACGTGTTCTTAAGGGGAGGGGTAAGGGACGGGCCGGGGTGGGGGGAGCAAGACCTTGGAAATTGCGGGAAATATCTTCAAATCTTTTATGCATATATATAACATATACATATATAAATATATATAATACATATGTATCTCTTAATTATGGTTAATAGTATGTCATTAACACCATCATTATATCAACACCGTTTCATCCTATAAAATCATACTTATCATTGTGATCCAAATAAGAATCATCACCAGCACTAGCAAGACGACAGTAACGAATACTTCGAGTGCAAGATAGGCCTAAAAGGGTGTTTGGAAGTGAAAGGAAAAGGGAAACAGGAAACAGGAGAGGCCAGGAAATCATTAAGGGTGTTAAGTAGTTTCCTTCGTTGTTCATTTAGGCTGAACCATCCCATTTTAGGTGTTATATTCTTTTTTATGTTATTTAAGACTTATTGTGAGTCGTTTTTCGTTTAGTCTATTAAACATATAATCTTTTATCACAGATAAGCATCGTCTGAGAACATAAGGCTATAACCCTTCCTAATTAATCTTATTACGCAAACATACATACTAACTTAAGTAAAGAAGAAAATCATACATATCAGTATATATGTATAAATGCATATATGTTTACGTACAAACATATACATTCATACACACACACACACACACACGCACGCACGCACGCACGCACGCACGCACGCACGCACGCACGCACACACACACACACACACACACACACACATATATATATACATATATATATACATTCAATATATACATATATATATATATTCAATATATACATATATATATATATATATATATATATATATATATATATATATATATATATATATGTATTCATGCATATAAATATTTACATATATATGTATACATACATATGTAAATATATATATATATATATATATACATATATATATATATATATATATATATATATATATATATATATATATATATATATATGCATATACATACATATATATAATTCTATATATATATACATATACATACATATATATAATTCTATATATGTATACATATGCACACATACAAATTATTCCCGCAACTAGAGAATAAGAGACAAAAACGAAAAGAAAAAAAGGGGAAAACTGACCAGAAATAGAAACAAAACAAACAAATAAAATAAGACGCGGTCGTACTCAC